AGATCTGGAGCACTAAAATAGCTCAAACTAAAATACAAAAATAAGAACTATAGAGACATTTTTTTTTTAAATATGTAAAAATATTAATAATATAGATATTTGATATTTTATTCAAAATAAAATAAAAAATGACATCAATTTATTAAATAAAGTTTATATATTTAATTTCAGAAAATACATTTAAAATATATGGGGAAAAATATAATATTAAAAAATAAAATGAATTTGATCATTTTATTATATGATCTTTTGAACTGTTTGTTGGTTATAGTCACAGTGGCTGAATTGTGGCTCATGAATGGGTCTGTATCCAGAAACAGACTGAAGCGTGATGTCAGAGTTTTATCTGTGACGGAGGTCATGTGAAGCGTGTGACACGCACCTGTTCTGCTGGAGCTCATCAGACACAGACGGTTAAATATAGAGCGCTGCGGCTAACGTGAACCGCGCGACCTACAGACATACTGATGAGAGAACGGCTTGATTAGCACTAAACCAGTCATAACTGAGATTTATACAGAAGCCTTCCGTTGATATATGGTTTGCTAGGATAGGACAATATTTGAAAATCTGGAATCTGAGGGTGCAAAAAACGGGAAGCTGTACACGGGTCTGTGTAACTTTAACGAGCGATGGGAGCGTCTGTCTCTGGCACAGAAGAAGGGCATCAACCACCGCTATCAGCTGGGCTGTAACTGCAGGGTGAGTGCTGCGGGATCATGGGTAACGTGCTCACTGTCACTGCATATCCAGCGTCCGCCGTCATTAGCGTTAGATCAGTGAACACGAGTTAAAGTCTGTTTGTATTACATCAGAAATCCAGAAGAAAACAAATTTCATTACTGTAAAAAGAATGATTGTATTATATTGCTTGTTAAAGTTTTATGAGTTCAATAAGTAGACATGCTTTTTGATTATTAAAATGTATTTTAACCATTAAAATGGAATCCAGAATATTTAAAACGTAGAATACATGGAAAAAAACATAGAAAACATAGAATTTGGGAAAATTAAATAAATAAATATATAAATGAATAAAATTTAATTTTAGGAAAAATAAAATGCATTTCATAGGGCCCTAAAAATGCAATTCTTGTAAAAAAAAATAAAATACAAATAAAAAAAAAAATATTTTTTTATTATTTTTGTTAAATTGTGTACGTTTCATAATTTCAATTAATTATAAATGCTTTTTATTAGTAAAAAAAAAATTTATTAAAATTAACCATTAAAGCAGAATCCAAAAAAATGTAAATGGAAAAAAAAAAATTGGGAAAAATAAACCGAATTTGGGGGAAAATAAAATGCATGTCATAATCCGTTTTATTTTTAATGGGCCCTAAAAATTAATTTTTGTCAAATATTTAAGAAATCGTTAAACTAAAAACTAAAAAGTCTAAAAATTTATTTTGATTATTAAAATTTAATTTAACCATTAATAATGGACTCCAGAAAATAGAATTTGGGAAAAAATAAAATGGATTTCATAGGACCCTAAAAATATAATTTTTGTAAAAAGAAATTTTGATGATAAATTGTGTATTGAATGATTTCAATTAATTACATGTGCTTTTTGACGATTAAGATTTAAGTTAACCATTAAAACGAAGTCAAGAAAAATTAAATTAAAAAAAAAAAAAAAATGGAATACAGAAAAATTCAAATGGAAAAAAATGGAATTTCATAGGGCCCTAAAAATAAGTTTTTATAATAAACTTTTATTAAATTGTGCACGTTTCATGATTTAAATTAATTAGACATGCTTTCTGATTACTAAAATTTAATGTAACCATTAAAACTGAATTTTTGGGAAATAAAACTGATTTTATAGGGTCCAACATGCATGCAGACGTTAATTTAGCAATCACACGGAACCGATATATATCGTCTGCGATATTATATTATTTGTTAGAGTTTTATGAGTTCAATAAGTAGACATGCTTTTTGATTAACACACTCCGCAAAATATTATCTAATTATCGTTATCGGTAAAATCCCAGAAAATATTGAGGTATTCTTTACATCTGTCCTGTGTTCGCAGATCAAGCCGTGCCACTATCTGCCCTGCTTCGTCACGTCCAAGAACGAGTGCTTATGGACGGACATGCTGTCGCACTTCGGCTACCCCGGCTATCAGTCGCGTCACTACGCCTGCATCCAGCAGAAGGAGGGCTACTGCAGCTGGTACCGAGGCGTGAGCGCTCGCGACAAGCTCATTATCAACACCACCGACCCCTGAGAACCGGCCTGAAACCACTACACCACCAGCCCAACCTTTCTGAACCGGAAGATTTTTCATGCTTCTTAAAGAACTCTCTTCTGCTCACCAAGCCTGCATTTATTTGATCCAAAATACAGCAAAAATTGCAATATTGTGAAATATTTTTACTATTTAAAATTTATATTTTAAAATGTAATTTATAAAACGGATAGTTCCGGTCCTTGATTCTGATTGGCTGAGCCGTGTTCAAAGCTGTTACTTGTTCAAAGCTGTTACACCTTTGTTTACGTTTGTGTGTTGCTCGGCAACCACTTTGTAGCAACCACAACTGTTTCTGAGGAGCTACATTGTTTGGTGGAAGAATACTGTTTTTATTAATATCATTACACTATTTGCTCTGTTTTATTTTGTGAAACCTTACTACGTATATGGAATAACCGTTTTATAAAAGCAATAAGCCCCGTGAAGCCGTGGTTTACAGTGGATTTATAACAGCT